AGTAGTGGCAGCAGCAGCAGCAGCAACAGCAACATAAATGGTTAAATGGTTTTGGGTTTTAGGGTTTAGGGTTTAGGGTTTGCACCAGTAGGTGTAGGAGGTAGAAGAGGGCCCAGAGTGGACTTGGAGCACTGGCTTCTTGTTGGCGGTTGGAGGCTTGGGAATCAGGGGTCTTTATGCTTATGCTTCAGGCTTCGGGGATGAGTCGGGTAGGTTTTCGTATTCTGCTAAAAGCGGAATTATTCTTTGCCACCACCCTAAGCCCTAAACCCTAACCCTAAGACTAATACACCCCCGGAAGACCTCCAGTCGGCACAGCACCCCCGTCGCCATCGAGGTTGAAGGGGAACTGGTCCATGGCCTCGTCGGCGTCCTGCATCGACTCCTGGTCTTCGCCTTCCAAGATCTCCGTCGCCGTGTTCCTCTTCGTCTTCCTGAGGCAGGAAAGGAAGGTGGGTGGAAGTGGGAAGTTCAGGGCTACACAAAAGACTTCGCACATAATCTATAACCATGGCACTTGTTCGAGCCTTTGACCCTCACAGCCACCCAGTACATGTAATCGTCGCAGTACTCAGACTTCCTCTCGAACAAGCTGCAGCAAAGAAGCTCGCACGATGAGCCTACATGCAATGTCTTGGAAGAACAACAGCTAGAATCTCCTCTTCCAGCCCGAGCGTTTCTCGCAGCTTTTTTTCGCCCCCTTGATTTTCTTCCTCGGCTAAGTTTAAGGACATAGAATAACAAGAGCAGTAGTGGTTTAGGATTTAGGGTTTGGAGTTTAGGGTTTTAGGGTTTTGAGGTTTTGGAGTTTTAGGGTATACGAGGGTTTTAGGGCTTTAGGGTGTTAGGGCTTTGGGGTTTTAGGGTATAGGGTTTCGAGCATGCAGTGCGTGTATAAGGTTTGGGGTTTAGGGTTCGAGGGTTTTAGGGTGTTAGGGTTTTGGGGATTTAGGGTACAGGGTTTAGAGCATGCAGTGCGTGTATAAGGTTTGGGGTTTAGGGTTCGAGGGTTTTAGGGTTTTAGGGTGTTGTTAGGGTTTGGGGGTTTTAGGGTACAGGGTTTAGAGCATGCAGTGCGTGTATAAGGTTTGGGGTTTAGGGCTCTAGGGTTTTAGGGTTTTAGGGTGTTAGGATTTTGGGGTTTTAGGGTATAGGGTTTAGAGCATGCAGTGCGTGTGTAAGGTTTGGAGTTTAGGATTTTAGGGTTTTAAGGTTTTAGGGTATAGGGTTTAGAGCATGCAGTGCGTGCACAAGAGTTGACATCTAAGACACTCGCTCCAGCCTTTGTCTTCCATCTCTTGCTCTGTCAAGAACTCAAACTCCGTTTCCACGGATTTCTCGTTGATCTCTTCATACTTCCGGTTGATTCTCTTGGAGAACACGACCTGGCTGGGTAATTGTAGCCTAGCAGCAAAAGTATGTTTCGACGACACATCCTAAACGAGGCAGGCAAACGGGGTCGCAACCGCATTTCTCGAAGCTTCGGTAGACTTCATCTCGTGTCCGGATATTCTTGTAAGTGTCGATGACTTCTTGGGGTATCTTGAAGGTTCCATCCTCCCGTGGTGTGCACAAGCGTGCCAGCCTTTTCATCAAGGTGGCTTTGCTCACTTGTTCGGGAGGGGGCACATCTTCCTCTCCAGGGTCATACTCATCGTCCTTGTCCCCCGAGGCTGGCTTGGCTTTGCTGCTGGGAAGGAGCTTCTTGGGCTGGGCTGCTGTCTTCGCTGGGGGAGCCTGACTAGCTGCTGGGGCTGTAGACTGCGAGGGCCTTTCAGGGAGCTGCCTTGTTTGGGTTTGCGTGCTTGCAGGGGTCTGGCTCAGGTCGGTCCGGCTTTCTGCGGGGTTCTGGCTCGGGTCGGTCTGGCTTTCTGCGGGGTTCTGGCCCTGGCTTCCAAGGCTCTGGCTCGGGTCGGTCTGGCTTTTTGCGGGGTTCTGGCCGTCGGTCTGGCTTTCTGCGAAGTTCTGGTCCTGGCTTTTTGCGGGGTTCTGGCCCTGGCCTGCAAGGGTCTGGCTTGGGTCGGTCTGGCTTTCTGCCAGGTTGTGGCTTCCAAGGGCCTGGCTCGGGGTCTGGCTTTCTGCGGGGTTCTGGCTTCCAAGGGCCTGGCTCGGGTTGGTCTGGCGTTCTGCCGGGTTGTCGTTCTTGGTGTCCTGAAAGGACTCAACGAGTGTGTCGGGCACGGTTTGGTGGCCAGGTGAGGGCCGAGGGGTTTCAGGCGGCGGCAAGGAGAACTGAGGCTGGGAACCCGTTTGGGAGGAGTGCCACGAGGTGCCACGTGACGGAGCTTCCTATGTCAACAAACAATCAAAAGCAAAAGCCTCTTCAGTAATGTGCAAAAGCTCCTTCCGGCCGTCTGGCTGGATGCCCTGGATCTTCAGTGCATCCTCGGGTCGCACACAATGGGAGCCAATCAAAAGGAAAGGCC